CAGTTGTTTCCTGTTCTTAGGAAAAAGCTATTACAGGAGAAATAGGATCATCTGTGAGACTAATGGATTCTCAAGGGTGACTAAACATAGCTCTATGAGAAGTCTCAGTATCACATAGATATAAATAAGTCATCATCAAATCTAGTTTCCAAGATTGTGCTTGCCCACAGCCCCCCTACCAGAAGCTATTATGAGTATATGACTCTTTCTGCCACGAGAAGAGCTTCATATAGGCAAAAACAGGCACATCTGGACAGCAACAAAGGAGATGGATGATGCTCAGGCAGAAAGAAACAACTAAGAAATATTGCTAAAAGGTCAAAGTCGATTAAGGAAAATAAAAAGGATAATTAAGGAAGAAGAGGCCGAGTACCAAACTCACCATACTCCCACAGAATCTGAATATAAAATCAGCATCCAGCCCATCTATAATCACTCCCATCCCAGATTCTTATTAATTTGAATGAATGCACTTTACCCCCAAGAGGGTTTAACTCTCATTTAACTTACATTGGCTATGTCTTATAATTCTTTTAGTTATAAAGTGACACTCACTGTTGAAATCAGATTGAATCAGTTTATCTTTTTTAGAACATCTCACTAGGCAGTCACACTTCTTAAAAATCCACCTAATTATTGACATGCATGGAAAAGGGGAGTGAGAGAAATTCACTGTGAAAAATGGGCTCCATCTGAGAACTGTCATCCCTCTGAGGGTACAGCAGCCACAATCAGCAAGCCGTTTTTCCCTTCACCAAGAAACTGCCTTATCTGTCTCTCTCCATCCAACCATCTATTTCCTTCCTCTGCCAACAGTGACCATCAGCTGCTTCCAGGCTCACCCCCTATTCACGACCTTCTGGTGACTAGGGTCACGCAGCTAAAATGCCTTTCACTGTACATAATGAGCAATCACCTGGTTACATGTACAAACTTCCCTTCAAATTACTGCATAGCCATGAACTACATGTGTGGGAAAGAAGTAACTTAATAAAAGTTAACATTTTAAAAATAGCCTAATGAGGCAGAAGTTGAAAAAGAATTTACCAGGCACCATTTACTTCATTGTCTTCCAGCCTGTACTGTTACTGCTGGGAAGTTTGCTATCTGTCTAATCAGCATTCCCAGTGGGGAATCACCTCTTTAAGAACACGATGGCTGTTTTAAACAATTAATTTCAATGACTACAGTTTTCACTTTAGGATCTATTTTTTTGAATAAAAGTTGCCTGTTTTATTTCCTAACAGTTTATTTTTTTAATATCTCAATGACTTATTTTGTCTTGAATTATTTTAAACCAACATATCTTGTAAAGTCTTTTCATCAATGTTCTATTATTGCAGATTATTTAGGCTTTAATTCTACTTTGTTGTGACTCCTCTCCAAACTCTTACTCTACTTGGGTATTTTATAATTTTTATTCTCTAGAAAGTCTTTGTTTCCTACAGTGCCCTCCCCTAAGTGATTCCTGTATGACCTGGAATACTCTAGAATTCACTGGAAGCTGACCCTAAGGGCTGGACTGCCTCGTTTCTCTTGCACTCCATCTGCCAGTTGGGTTTGCCAATGCGGAACACTACCAGAACTAAGGGCAGGAAGAGGGTGAAGCTGGGGTATTTATTCCCTCGGTTCTCTCCCTCCTCAATGGCAGGGCCTACAGCCGCAGATCCTATCAAGTGACCCCTCCCCCATGGCACAGCTCTAGCCTGGTTCTGGTAACAGGTCCCCCGTCATCCTTTCAGGTTCACAAATAGTAACAGCTTTTCACTGTTGTCTGTGGCAGCACTGCCCCTTGTTGGTTCGTTCAACCTCCCCACGCCTCTGTAAAGTCTCTTTATTATATTCACTTCAATTGACCTTTTAAGAATATGTCATCTATTCCCCTGTTAGGATCTTACCTGGGACAGCTGTACCTGGGGGAGGAAAGGGAACTACTTCCACCTAATCAGCCTGCCTAGTCAAGTCAAGGGAATCACCTCACAACGAGGAATTATGGATTACTCTGCATCTTCAACAACAAAGACCTGGGGCACTGATTGACAGACTGACAGACGGTCCTCACCTTGAATCTTTCTCAGACCTTGAGTGAAATCCTGCTCTTCACCACTCTCTTGGATGTACAGGGGCCCCCAAGGTTCATAGTTAGGACTCTCCACAGGCTGTGACTGCACACTGCTCAGGGATCCCTTTGATGTTCCTGAAGATGACATATTCTCCCACACCTGTTTCTGTTCATTTGGAGGAGTTGAGACCTGGAGACAAGGAGGAATGGCTGGGTTTGTTCACAGCTCACTGTAAGAACTAGAATGAAAATCTTAGGAAAGCTATGTAGAACCACTACAAAAGAGAAAAAGAAAAACATTCATTCCATTCAATTACCAAGGCTAAAGGTTAGTTTAGGATAGTAGAAGAAAAACAGGAGGAACATGGTCTAACTCAGTAGAAACTTCCATTCAGCTAATGTTACTGTATGGACAAACCCTGGTTCCTGGCTGGAATGCTAAGCTCTCCTAGAATAAAAACCTCCCCTGCCTACCTGCTGTCCTGGTTCATCCAGNCAAGGTTCATAGTTAGGACTCTCCACAGGCTGTGACTGCACACTGCTCAGGGATCCCTTTGATGTTCCTGAAGATGACATATTCTCCCACACCTGTTTCTGTTCATTTAGAGGAGTTGAGACCTGGAGACAAGTAGGAATGGCTGGGTTTGTTCACAGCTCACTTTAAGAACTAGAATGAAAATCTTAGGAAAGCTATGTAGAACCACTACAAAAGAGAAAAGAAAAACATTCATTCCATTCAATTACCAAGGCTAAAGGTTAGTTTAGGATAGCAGAAGAAAAACAGGAGGAACATGGTCTAACTCAGTAGAAACTTCCATTCAGCTAACGTTACTGTATGGACAAACCCTGGTTCCTGGCTGTAATGCTAAGCTCTCCTAGAATAAAAACCTCCCCTGCCTACCTGCTGTCCTGGTTCATCCAGTTCCTGCTCCAGATCTTCGAGGAGAGTGACGGCCTCTTCAGCGCTCTCCGGGCAGTGCTCCTGCACCCAGGCCTGGAGCTCCTGGGGCAGGATGGTCAGGAACTGCTCCAGCACCAGCAACTCTAGGATCTGCTCCTTGGTGTGGATCTCAGGCCGCAGCCACTCACAGCAAAGCACCCGGAGTTGGCTCAGGGCCTCCCGGGGTCCTGGAGTGTCATGGTACCCAAACTGCCTGAAGCGCTGGCGGAACATCTCCAGGCTAGGAAGGCATTTCCCTTTCTCCTCCTCCTCAACTTTCACCATTGCAGGCCCCACCTGCTCCTGTGAAGGCCGAGGGCCCAGAACTGTGGCCATGCCCAGTACTTTGGTCATCACACAGACTCCAGAAACAGCCTCACTAAAGATGGGGCTCTGTGGAGCAGGAATATTGGTTCCTTTTGGTTTCTGGTTCTTTAGGGCCACACGGCAAACCTAAGAAAATATGGTTACCATAAAATTACCAAAAAAAAAAAAAGTATGTTTTTTTGGTCTTTACGGCCACACCTATAGCACAAGAAATTGTGGAAATTATAGCCAACATAAAACTACCATATACAAATGACTGTTCAAAATGCTTCTGGAGTCAGCTCAGAATATCCTCCTTTGACTTTACTGTGTCTCCCGTCCCCTAAAAAGTGTAGTATGGCATAATCTTAAAATTAAATTGACTTTACTCTGAAAACTGTTTCAGAAATCTTACAATTATAGATATCCTAATTTCTGATATTTCAACATGTTGTCTACTGGCAAAATGCTGTCTATTTGAATCTAAGACATTTAGCTGGAACATTAAAAAACTAGTCAAATGACTGGGCAGATTCTCAGCATGACCAGGTGTCATGCTGGGAGGCTGGAATAAACTAGTATATTTAAAAGAAATTGAGTACAATTAGTGATATAATTTTGAGTTTCACTTTACCCATTTTAAGTAGGGTACACTCAAGTTTTTAAATGTCCCTTACCTTTAGCTTTTTATAGAAAGGCAGGAAGAATGGCAGAGAGATTAGACTGAAAGTAACATATATTCTTTACAGGTATTTATTTTGATAAGATACGTTTTGCTGAGAAGAAATTGAGGAGAGAAAATTGAGAGAAAATAGACGACACAAACAAAAATGTGTGAAAATATTTTTTCTTTTAAATTTTAAATATTCTACATCTGTCAGTCAGTTGATACATTAGAATAGTGAAACATCTGGAGTAAATATAATCACTTCTATTCTCTTCGTTTGCCAAAAAGTGAAGTCCATTCATTCAACATTTACTAAACAC